ATTGATCTTTTTTTCTCTTTCTGTCAATCTGGGCCCTTCTTCTCAACTTGGATGATCATTTTTTTCTTACACAGATGGCATGTTCAAAGGCATTTACAATGGCAAGCAATGTCACGTTTCCGATATTGCCGCTGTTTTGAGCCGAGCTTGGAACGCTGGGGTCGATCGAATTATCGTGAGTTGCCCCATCTCTCATATTTTCTTTGCATTTGATTTATGTTTGTTTCCTAGGAAGCTTAGTTTCTTTACAGAACTTGTGGACCTGAATGATTGAGTTTAAGTTTTGTTTTGTTATCAAATTAATGAAATGGTATTTTCATTTTTTTTGGGACCCTAGATGAATTTAGTTACTTTGGGAACTTTTACAATTAATTTTCAGCATGATATAAAAGCATAGTGAGTTTTAGGTTTGATTTTGTTGTTAATGCATAATTTATAGTAATAGAGTTGATGGTTATAGGTTACTGGTGGTTGCCTTGAGGAGTCGAAGGAAGCTCTTGCTATTGCAGAAACTGATGGTCTGTTGACTCTGTTTTCTTTGTATTCATTGCCAATCTCTGCCTTAAAGTTGCTTTTGCTTTAGAATGTGTTTGTTGTGGTTATTTTATCCGTATCAAATCTGTTATTCATCACAGGGAGGCTTTTCTGCACAGTTGGTGTGCACCCAACCAGATGCAAGGTTAGTGTTATTCACGCAAATATTGTTGTCTTTAGTCCTTTTTGTTGCATTTTGAGTACATGTTTAACTGTGTGGTTTCATTGGAGATGTTTGTGTGCCTGTCTTCTTTTACGTTTATTTAGGAGTTTGAAGAGAGTGGGGATCCCGAAAAACATTTTCAAGCTCTTTTGGCATTGGCTAAAGAGGGAATCCAAAAAGGGAAGGTGTGCTTTTACTTTATTGTTCATATTTTTAAATTTGGTTACATCTAAGATTGGTGCATTCCCATCCGAGCCAGCAGATGTGAGATGATGAATTTTAGCATATATTATGCAGTTAGATGTTTGAATTTCAGTTGTTAGTTGCTTTCTGCCCAAGATGCGTTGGTTAGACAAGTGAAAGTTAGAGGTCTTGGAGCATGCTAAGCCCTGTTCTCTCTCTCTGCTTCTTCTTCTTTTTTGTCCCACCCTAATTTCTACATAAGTTCTTTTACATTGAACAGTTTCCCATGCATGTACATAGTATTTTTCTTTGCAAAGATGAATTTTTATAATAGTGTAATTAACAGTTATCAATTTCATGATTAAAGGAGTTATTTCTGTTTATCAATAGTTTACAGAAAAATAGAAAAGCCGCTGAGGTTTGGTAAAAAATGTACTCACTTATTTTGATAAGTACCCTCTTACCTCTATGAGGTTTGGTAGAAAATACACTCACCAAAAAGTAACGATATTAATTACTAGGTTAATTTTATATGAAAAGACAAACATACTGTTTGTTAATTATTTATTTTTATTTTTTTACTACAAAATTGTAAGATTTAGTTAGTTGTGAGATTTAATCAGTTTTAAAGTCATCTTTAATTACTATCATATTGAATCTTAATTCAATTACGCATTATATATTTTAATCTTATCTTTAATTTAATTATTGATTAACTTTGAGATGAATATATTTATTTATTTTTAGTTAAAATAAATTAATTACCATTAATTTGGAGAAAAAGGTTTAGTGGTAAAGAAATTGATTAAAACAAAAAAAAATGAAAAAAAGGAGGAAAAAGAAGAAATTAACAAAATGATGGTATTTTGAGCATTTAAGGTGAACTTTGAACACATATTAGTTTGACTAATGGAATACTAATGACATCAATACTTTTTCAAGAGAGTCTTTTTCAAACTAATGGAGGTAAGTTTATATTCCATAAAACCTCATGGATGACTGTTATATTTCCTAGTTGAATTATATATTATTTAGCATATTTAACACAATATAATTGTAATTAAACCTAATTAAAATTCAATTTGATAGTAATTAAAGATAGTTTTAAAACTGATTAAATCTTCAACCAAATTTATAACTAATTAAATCTCATAGTTTTGTAACTAAAAACAAAAAGTCTTGGACAAAAAAAAGAAAAGAGATAAAAGGAAAGCAAAAGAAAAAAAGGAAATGGAGAAATAAATAACAAAAGGTTATGCTTGTCTTTTCGTTTGAAGTTTACTTGGTAATTGGCACTTAGGGTTTTAGGGGGTAAGTGTATTTTCAGTCAAACTTCAGGGGGGTAAGAGGGTATTTTTCAAAACTAATATGAGGTTGAATGTATTTTCAACCAAACCTTGGAAGGCTTTTGTATTTTAACCCAATTTATATGGATCCGAGAATGGTTAGTAACCAAACAACAGTTCTCCATTGAATATTTCCTCTTCGATCAGATTGTTAATCTTAGTTGTAAGATGGTTAGAAACTATGAGTTTTCCTTAATCTAGGTGGTGGCAATTGGTGAATGTGGATTGGATTACGACAGGCTTCACTTTTGCCCACCGGAAATTCAAAAGAAGTAAGTGGTTGCCGAGAGAAATATTTGTTGGGATTGTTTTCCTTCTTTTCTTGTTAACTATTGCCTTGTTTTCTTCTGCTCTAATGATAAAATATTTGTTACTTATCCATTCTAAAACTAGGTATTTTGAGAAGCAGTTTGAATTAGCTTATGCCACAAAGCTGCCTATGTTTCTGCATATGCGTGCAGCTGCTGGAGATTTCTGTGAAATTTTGGGACAAAACATTAACAAGTGAGATTTCTGGATCTGTCCTACAAAAGTGAAAATTGTCAGCTCTTTTACTTAATGTTATTATTTTATTGTTTGACTATCTTTTTCATTTTTTGTCTGTGCTAACCCTGTAAACCATCTTTGTTCAATTTTATGAAATGGATATTAAGCATATAAGTTCATTGGTTCACTTGTAGATGCATAAATGCTGAATTGTGTTGCCCTTTTTTTTTTTTTGTTTTTCAATTTAATAGGTTCACTGGTGGGGTCACCCATTCATTTACTGGTAGTGCTGAAGACCGTGATAAGCTTCTCTCATTTCATAACATGTATATAGGTGAAAATTCAACTTAGACACAGCATCTTTCATGCATTCACCTAACATATCATGTTGCTGGGCTAGCAGTGAGGTGATGTCTGCTGGCTACCCTGTATCTACCAATCAGATCATTTTATGTTCAGGCTGATCACTTTTGAGCACTTACATTTTTTCACTCAGTCAACCAAGTTGATGAAAAATTGATATTTCATATGTACTTGTTTGAAGCTGTCCATTTTTATGGATATACTAAGGTTCGTGGTTATCCTAATGAGTCTTCTAGCTTTGCTTCTATTACAGGCATAAATGGATGCTCCCTGAAGATGGCTGAAAATCTTGATGTCGTGAGGGACATACCTATTGAAAGAATGATGATTGAGACTGATTCTCCATATTGTGAAATCAAGAGTACTCATGCTGGGATTAAATTTGTGAAATCTTTATGGCCTTCTAAGAAGAAAGAGAAGTATAATCAAGAAAGTCTCGTTAAAGGACGTAATGAACCTTGTTTAGTGCGGTGAGTGAATCTGCTTTTCCATTTGCAGTATCTCAACTTTTAAATCTTTTTTGCACTTTATTTTTTAATAATTTCTTTTTTCTGTAGAGAGTGTTCTTAAAATGGAAATCTTGTTTTCATTGTATATTGGAAGCTACTACAATAATCATATCATCTTACAATCAGAAATTGACACAAATATAGCAAATAACATAAAAAAATATAGTGCATTGTTTCAGTGTATACTATATAGCTGATGATCACATTTAACTGGTTCATTTGGTCTTTTATAAAAGGAGATTTAATTCTGTTCAACACATTTTCTCTTATTTTTTGTTTTATTTTCCTTTTTTTTTGGGACTGGGGTGGGGGGGTTGGTTTTTCAGGCAAGTTCTTGAGGTGGTAGCTGGCTATAAAGGTATTAGCATTGATCAGCTGAGTGCAACATTGTACCAAAACACCTGCAGGTAATTCTATTTGCAATTTTAGGAATTTCTCAAATATAATGATGGGTGATTTGGGCACTAGATTAAGTGGTTACTAGTGATCAAACTGCTTAGAAGTTGATAGATTGAGGATTTGATCAATTTGGTTAATAAATTATTCTTTTAGGTAAGTTGGATTGTACAATTTGAGTTGATAATGGATTGGGCTCCCCTCTACATTTTTATCCAGCACTCTTCAATACATGTTTAATCACCATTCACATGTGTGTAGTACCTATCTATGAATTCTGGAAATCATACTTATGAGCGGTGATCAAAGGTGTATTGAAAAATAATGGATTGGAGAAAATAACAGAGGGGAGCCAAACCTGTTGATAATGTGCATTTTTTATTGCCGTCAGAATCCTTACTAAAATTAAAACAACTTTTAACTTTAGGGTTTTAGTTGTTCTGCTTCATAAGAGAATTTTGTTATGCAGGGCTTTCTTCCCTCATGACTTGGATGCTGCAGCAGATGCTCTTCTTGCTGGTTGGCCAGAAAGTCAATGACAAAGTTTTATGCTATTTAGATCTTTTGTTCCTCCTTTAAATTGAGGAAGCCACAAGCCGAGAGTTTTTAAAATGAAAATTAGCTTTAGGCATTGGAATGGAATCCATTGAAGTCACCTGCATACTAGTATTCCATTTTGCTTTTATGTTGATTATTTAATCGCAAAGTTTGGAAATGGGAAATGCTGATGAAGTTCTATCTTCTCATTGTCCATGTATCTATCTATATATTCATGCCATATTCGCCCTTTGCATGTTAGTACAATTCTACAGAAATCAGGGTTGGTCTCTGTAAACTGTTGATAACAAACCTAGGAATGGCCCCTGCTGTCCAATGAACTGCTTGAAAAAGCCAGATTAATTAGGCTTCAAAAGGTAGCAGAATCTTTGAATTATAGATTGTGCATAATGATAATTGAGAAGGCAAAAATATGTTGATGGTTGCTCAAGGCTTTAAACTAGTTATAGATCAATATCCAAGTTCATAAACCCTAGCATTTATTATCACCATGTTGATCAACATGTTCCACTTGACAAGAAAGAACCAAAGTGGATTTGGCCTGCAATGAATATCATAAACTATTCAATCAAATGAGAACGGAAGCCTACAGGAAATTTGGCTTTTACAATTGCCATAATATGTATAACTCGCGCCACATATACTCCAAAACCACAAGCAGAGAATCGTCTCCCTTTGCTTGCTCGATGATTATATGGAATATTTGCAAACAGTTCTGGAGCAGAGTAAAACAAATGACTACTGTGGAATCATAATTTGGAAATAAAAGGTCATATCTCCGCTCAATTTTCTTGATCCTGTTTGCAAAGCCATATTTAACCACCTAATCTCTTTGACTAAACTCTCAGGCAGTGACGCTGGAAAGCAATTCACTGCTTTCAAGACTCTCTTTGGTGTTTCTTTCCATTTCCGGTGATGGAGTACGGGGAGCTCTATCCGCGGCCATATTCAATCGTAAAGGTCGACCTTCCACCTCCTACAAGCACGATTACATAGAAACAGAAATTGAAAAAAGGTAAACAAACGTCAATCCCAAAGTATTCATGAACCAAGTCTTACCACTCCGTTCATTGCATTTAGGGCAGCCTCAACAGTCTCAGCAGACTCAAAAGAGACGAATCCAAAACCTCGAGATCTTCCTGTATCCCTCTCATAGATGACTTTAGCACTCATCAGGCCTGGTTGACTAGCGAAAGCATCTCTGAGACCTTGGGAGGTGACACCCCAACCGAGGTTTCCTGCATAGATCTTGTAAGGGCTGTCTAAAAAGCTCTTGTAACCTCTCCGTATCTTTGGTCCCATTACTTCCCTCTCACCACCTCTTGGCACCTCTGGGAAGTTCACCTTCACAGTCCGTCCTCCAACTTGCTGTTAGCGGTTAGGGATAAAAATATTAACATCAGCTTTACTGGCACTTCAAAATGGAATAACCCACGTAAATGGTGCTCTAAAAACCAAAGAAATACACAACAATTGTAGGTAATCTGCACAGACCTAAAAAAATTTTGTAGGTTCAATCAATGGTTAATGTAGACAGTCAAGAAACTTAATAATTAAACTTACGGATCCATCAAACAGTCTAATTGCTTCTTTAGCATCATCAACGCTCGCCATTGTAACAAAGGCAAATCCCCTGCTTCTATCCGTAACTCGATCATAGACAATCTATCAAACACAATTCAACAAGAAAAGCCATTACCAAAAATGACCAAAAAAAAATGAAGAATACTAATAAGATAGCCAAAACCAATTGGGAAGCAAGGGGAAGAAAAAACACAAACCTCCACATTAGCAACACGACCAGCCTCATTAAAAATCTCAGATAATTCAGAAGAAGTCATTGAATAAGGCAAGTTCCCAACATACAACCTTCCTTCTTCACCACCAGACTCTGAAATCTTCTCTTCTTCAGCTTCCTCTTGTTGCGGCGGTTCTTCAACGTTTGGACTTTCTGGGTATTCTTCTCCAGGGCTTTGGTCATCTTCAGTAACTTGGAAGCTATCAAAAGAAGCTGAAAAACAGTGCAAACGGGGGAGAGACAGCTGGAGAGAGAAAGGGAAGGAATTGAGGCTTTGGGTTTTGAGGTTGAAGGGTTTTAACTGCTTATGAGTAGGTTTTGAAGGAAGGGAGCGGAGGGATGAAGAAAAGAGAGTGGAGAGTTTGTTGTTGCTGTAGAGTGAAGTAGAGGCAGCTGCTACCGTAGCTGCCATGGAGAGAGTTGGAGCTGAGATTTTCTGCAGAGAAAAAAAAAGTTATGTGCATAATGAATTCTAGGATAGGACTAACGAAAAGATATGGGATATTTTGAGGGGAAGTTACGAATTGAAAGAGGCAATAGCTTACAGCTACAAGATGGATAAGGTTGGGACAGGATTTTTTTTCCCTCCTTTGTACTTGCTTAGTCTGATATTTGTATGGATTAATTATATATTTGGTACTTCAACTTACACCAAAGTGTCGATTTATCATTTATTAGATATTAAAATTTTACTTCCTTTATGTGTTTCCAAAAATCATGCTATTGTATCTTTAATTTTTAAAATTAAAAAATTGACAAGAAAGGAAAATGGGGTAAGAGATAGGAAAGGAGGGAAGGATCCTCTATCATGGGTCGAAACTTAAATTTAACTTCGTGTAGTATTAAACTTTGAAAATAAAATTTAAGCAAGTTTATAAATCATGAGCCCATAGGCTTAAGTTAAAAAAATATTTGATAGGTAGTAAAAGATTTATATTTATATACCCAAAATTTATTTTATTTTTCACTGATATGAGATTCGTGATATTTTATCCTCCTTAATTATGCAACGTTCTTGTTGCATTGGCTTGTTACCCATAGAGGAGAGAGACACTTATACTAGTTCAAGCCTAATTTGATCCTTATATCTCTCTTTAGGTTTCACATCAGTGAAGATCCAAATATGCGTTGATACCATTTGTCACAGGTTGAAACTTAGGTCTAGCTTCGTGTTACCTTAAACTCTTAAAATAGAGCTTAAGTAACCTTATAAATCACAAACTCACATTCCTAACTCAAAAGACATATCCAATAGGTGGTGGAAGACTTATGTTTATATAACCAAGATCCACCTATCTCTTTCTGATGTGGGATTTGTAACATCCTACCTTACTCAATTATGCAACGCCCTCATTACACTGTCACTTTACCGGTAGATGAAAAAGACTCTTACATTAGTTTGGGTCTTGACCTTGACCCTTGTATCTCTTATAGAAGCTTCACATTATTGAAGATAGGTTTGCTTTGACACCAAATGTCAAGGGTTAGAACTTTTACTCGTAGAGAAGAAAGACTCTTATACTAGTTTGGGTCTACCTTGACTTTTGTATCTCTCATAGGAGCCCCAAGTCAGTGAAGATCCCAGTTTATTCTATTACATGGGCTCATGTCATGAGCTAAAATTTAAGCCCAACCTCGTGCAGTCTTAAACTTTGAAAATAGAGTTTACGTAAGCTTATAAATTACGAGCCCATATTCTCTACTCAAAAGACATGCTTGATAGGTGGTGGAAAGCGCATGTTTATATAACCAAAACCCACTCTTTCTCTTATTGATGTGGGATCCATGACACCCTCCTTTTTGTCTTATCCTTAATTTTCTCTCTCTTACCTTTTCGTCATTCTTTCTCTCCCTTATCCCTTATCTCTTTCATTTTTTATGAAAAAATAGGAAAAATGAAAAAATAGGAAAGGGGTAAGAAACAGCAAAGTCCCTAGAGAGTTAGAGGAAATCATATAAAAAGTTTGTACATAGAGGTATTGGGGAAGAAGTTAAGAGTTATAATGGTTGATTGATAGGGTAAAGATAAACTAGATAAGATTTCAAAGAATGAGAAATGGGTCAAACAAGGTAAGTAGAAGTCAAGTCAGGAAAGAGATCGGAGAGTGGTTGAAAGTTGATACAGGAGGTATGCATAAACTAAATGAGCAAACAAGCCTTGACGAGAGTAAGACAAAAATAGATAGTGAGATAAGTAAGGAAGCTTTGAAGATTTAGGAAGTAAGTAATAAATTATGAATGACATTAAAAAAAAAGAAGAGAGAATTCATCAAAGTCCTTGCAGAGATAGAGTTAAGGGAGGTTAAAAGGAAAAAGAGGGACATTAACAGAATTGATGGTGTCCAAATATGTGAGTTTTTTAGTTTTTTCGATGATTTTGATTTCATAGAATGTTAAAGTGCTTGGGAGATGAGAAAAGAAAAGGACAAAGAGAAATGTGGTTAGGAAAAATAGGCCAAATATGTTGTTTCTGCAAAAAGAATAAAACTTCAATGTTAGAAAAAGAGCATTTATGAGAGGTTGTGGGGGAAGGATTGAATATGCAGTGAATTGGTGGACTCACTTGGTTGGTTAAAAGGGTTAATAAGCATATGGAGGGAAGAGTTCGCTGAACTAATTGAATGTGTGAAGAATAGAAGTTTTATCATGTCAATAGGGAAAGTCAAAAAAATTAATAAAGTGTGTGGTTTCGTTAACGTTCTTGCTCCGAATAAGGAAGTGGTAAGAAAGAATCTATGGGGTGAACTTGTAAAGCAAATGAATGGTAGGGAGGCCATGTGGTGCCTTGTTAGGGATTTTAACATTATCATGAATGAGCAAGAAGGATAAGGAGTGGAGAAATAAAGAGAGTAGCTATGGCATTCGAAAAATTTATTGATGAACTAGCTCTTGTCGATTTACCACTAACAGTAGATAAGTTCAATTGGAGTGGATATAAGGAGGGGTTAGTGTTCAGTCAGTTAAATAGGTTCCTTCTAGATGTAGAGTGGTTGGATTATGAAAATGGTATAATGTAAAAGTGTTTCCCAAACTCATTATCAAATCACAACCTTATGTGTTTGAGATCTAGTAAGGTTGATTGGGGATCGAAGCCTTTGAAACTGTTCAATTACTAGATGGATGAAGCAAGCTTTCAAAAATTGATTTTTGATTTTTGGGATAAAAGTTAACTACAAAGCTTAGATAAAAGGGGAATTTAGCATAAATTTAGAGACATAAAGGTTGATATAAAGGAGTGGAGGGCTAAGACTTTAGGGAATATTTAAATGCACATACAACATAAAGAAGAGGAGATAAAAGTGTTGCTTTAAGCTTGTTAGGAAGGCAGAACTAGCTAAGGAAGCCAAAATGAACTAGTAAGAAAGAAAGCTGAATTGTAGGTGTTATATCAAAAAGATGAAAGAGAATAACCATAGAAATCAAAGGTTAAATGGTTAAACAAAGGAGATTGAAATACAAAATACTTTAATGCTATGGCTTCGGCAAGGCAGAGGGTAAATCATATTGAGGGGTGCAATGATAGGTTAAGGTAAAAAAAGAACTTGCAAAAAGAGGGGTGTAACTCAATAATATGCTAAATTGTGTCCTTTGTAACAGTGAAAGGGAAACTTGCAACATTTTGTTCCTAAATTGTTATGAGACATGGAAAATATGGTTGGTTTGGTATGGGAGTTGGAGGTGATGTGGGTCTCACTTGAAAATACGAAAGAATTCTTCATGGCATGGAATGGAAATTTTTTGGGGGACTAGACATCAGATTGTGGAAGATGGCTTTTTTCTCTATTGTTTGGTCAATTTGGAAATGTGGGGTTGAGGTAGTGTTTGGAGGTAAAGAATGAAAAGCTTAACAGTGTCTTGAAATAACAAGGATTAGAGTAGTTACATGGGCCAGTGCAAAATGGCCAAAGGAGCATCCTTCAGTGCTAGATATTTACAAACAACCCCAGTAGGGACAACACCATAAAGAGAAAATAGGAAGGAGAAGAAGAGT